GTTGTTACATCCCAGAGCCCAACTCAAGAAAGGACCTGGTTTATGAATGCATATACAGTTACAGCTGTTTGAGAAAGCATGCCAAGATTGAGCAAAAATGTGAGATTTGATTAACCAATGTCAAGTCCTAGGTGATGGAGATCAGATCCACCCCCTTCCCCTGTAACACATACACACTCTGGTCCCCCGTTGTAACCATTTTCCCCAAGCATCTCTGTGCAGTCAGACTTTTGATTATTTTGTGTCACCCGGTCCACAATAATATGCCCCCTCTCTGATTGTCTGAGTGTGACCCCCTCCCCATGGGCTACTGCAGCCAGTGTTGCCAGCACTGCCACTACCTGGGTGGGGGTACCCCACCGGAATCCCCACCGGCTAGGTACAAGGTCATCAAGGTTCTCATTAGCGGCTTTGAGAATTTCCTTGTATATTGTGCTCTCCCATCAGGGGGCTCTGGCTTTGTAGGACCAACCCTGCCAGGCAGGCTCAGAATCTTGAGGGGGCGGTGCTGCTCTAGTAGGTCTCTGACCGCATTTATCTTTCTGTTTTGGCTGCATATAGGCAGCTTACAACAGGCCCATAAAACAGATTGGGACTTCTCTTTGGTGTATGGGTCGCTCAGGTGTGTGTATAGGGTTGGGGACCGTTCCATCATGATAGGACAATAAATACAAAAATTAGATGTATACTTAATTTTAAAATGTATATCCCTCATCTGCACAAAATTGAAAGCCACACTTTTCCAAACACAAAAATACACACCACACCTTCCATCACAATACATCCACACATACCCACATACTGTGCCTTCTGTGTCTTCTGTTTGCTGTGTTTTTATCTCCACCATGTTGATTGAGTACTTTTGTGTTCCAATTAGTTATATTTGAACATGTATTATTTTGCTTGTTATCCTTTCTTCTAATGCCGTCTTATCCATTTATAAAATACAATAAAATTGAATACTAATTATTTTACAACATTCCCTATCTTGAAAGGTACAGTGTAGTTGTACTATATTTAACAATTGTTTTATTTTATTGCTTTTCTATCTTTATATATTTTTTATTATTACAATCCCAACAATGGCTAGTATTGGGTGTTCCATTATTTGACTCCTCTAGGAGAACTTTGTAATTTTTAGAATAGCCTTGGAGTAGTCTTTGTGTCTCGGAATATTTGGTTGTCAATATACAGATTATCGACTACGAGAGCTACATGCTTCCCTTTTAATCTATTCTCCTTGAAGATTGGGTACAGAACTTTGCGCAGTTCTGCAATCTCCCTCGGGAACTGATCATTCATGCCTATTTCCGTGCCAGCAAGTCTTTTACCCAGGCTTTTAACAATTACTTTATCTTTAAAGAAAGCAAATTTGGCAACGATTGGATGCTCATATCTTTGTCCGAAACAGTGTACATATTCGAGTTGGATTTTATCGAAAGCATCAAGTGGGATTTGAAGCGCTGTAAGAGAGAATTCATTCACTACCTTTTTGGGAACCTCTCCTTCTCTTTCTTGGATACCCGTAAGGACTAGATTTTCTCTCATAGATCTAGTCTGTATATCTAGTAAGGCTTCTCTCAGAAAGATGTTCTCCTTTTTAAGTTAATTATTGTCAGTTTCTATCTTAGTGACTGTCCCTTTTAGCTTTTTTGTTTCTTTCTCCATTATCGCTGCTTTATTGTCACAAATTTCAAGGCTCGCCTTCACCTCCTTTATATCCTTAATGACTCATTAAAGTATGCCCAGTTTGTAATTTATCGTCTTTAACAGATCACTTTCCACACTTACCAGTCTCAGTGGTGAAAAGCATAAATCATTTGTATCCGTCGAGGAGTCGCGTTTTCTCTTAGAGATTGATTCTCCTCGTTTACCCTCCGTCATGTTTGAGTGTTGCTTGTTTTCGTAATATTTGTCGATACATTTCTCTAGCCTTTATTATTTGTTTTGTGTTATTATCCAGATTGAATGGAATTACCCACAAGTATATGAAGTGCCAATATTTAGTCTAACTTACTGATGTTGAATATTACGTTTTTATCTTGAGGCGATTTGCACAGCTGTGTTCAATACGCCATCTTGGACTGCACGAGAATCTTGTTTCTCATGGTCTGAGAGTCCTTTAGGTGCCTTTTGGCAAACTCCAAGCGGGCTGTCATGTGCCTTTTTACTGAGGAGTTGCTTCCATCAGGCTACTCAACCATAAAGGCCTAATTGGTGTAGTGCTGCAGAGATGGTTGTCCTTCTGGAAGTTTATCCCATCTCAACAGAGGAACTCTGGTTCTTGGTCACCTTCTTGACCAAGGCCCTTCTCCCCCGATTGCTCAGTTTGGCCGGGCGGCCAGCTCTAGGAAGAGTCTTGGTGGTTCCAGACTTCTTCCATTTAAGAATGATGGAGTCCACTGTGTTCTTGGGGACCTTCAATGCTGCATACATTTTTTGGTACCCTTCCCCAGATCTGTGCCTAGACACAATCCTGTCTCGGAGCTCTACGGACAATTCCTTCGACCTCATGGCTTGGTTTTTGCTCTGACATGCACTGTCAACAGTGGGACCTTACAGTGGGGGAAAAAAAGTATTTAGTCAGCCACCAATTGTGCAAGTTCTCCCACTTAAAAAGATGAGAGAGGCCTGTAATTTTCATCATAGGTACACGTCAACTATGACAAACAAAATGAGAAAAAAAATCCAGAAAATCACATTGTAGGATTTTTAATGAATTTATTTGCAAATTATGGTGGAAAATAAGTATTTGGTCACCTACAAACAAGCAAGAATTCTGGCTCTCACAGACCTGTAACTTCTTCTTTAAGAGGCTCCTCTGTCCTCCACTCGTTACCTGTATTAATGGCACCTGTTTGAACTTGTTATCAGTATAAAAGACACCTGTCCACAACCTCCAAACAGTCACACTCCAAACTCCACTATAGCCAAGACCAAAGAGCTGTCAAAGGACACCAGAAACAAAATTGTAGACCTGCACCAGGCTGGGAAGACTGAATCTGCAATAGGTAAGCAGCTTGGTTTGAAGAAATCAACTGTGGGAGCAATTATTAGGAAATGGAAGACATTCAAGACCACTGATAATCTCCCTCGATCTGGGGCTCCACGCAAGATCTCACCCCGTGGGGTCAAAATGATCACAAGAACGGTGAGCAAAAATCCCAGAACCACACGGGGGGACCTAGTGAAGGACCTGCAGAGAGCTGGGACCAAAGTAACAAAGCCTACCATCAGTAACACACTACGCCGCCAGGGACTCAAATCCTGCAGTGCCAGACGTGTCCCCCTGCTTAAGCCAGTACATGTCCAGGCCCGTCTGAAGTTTGCTAGAGTGCATTTGGATGAACCAGAAGAGGATTGGGAGAATGTCATATGGTCAGATGAAACCAAAATATAACTTTTTGGTAAAAACTCAACTCGTCCTGTTTGGAGGACAAAGAATGCTGAGTTGCATCCAAAGAACACCATACCTACTGTGAAGCATGGGGGTGGAAACATCATGCTTTGGGGCTGTTTTTCTGCAAAGAGACCAGGACGACTGATCCGTGTAAAGGAAAGAATGAATGGGGCCATGTATCGTGAGATTTTGGGTGAAAACCTCCTTCCATCAGCAAGGGCATTGAAGATTAAACGTGGCTGGGTCTTTCAGCATGACAATGATCCCAAACACACCGCCCGGGCAACGAAGGAGTGGCTTCGTAAGAAGCATTTCAAGGTCCTGGAGTGGCCTAGCCAGTCTCCAGCTCTCAAACCCCATAGAAAATCTTTGGAGGGAGTTGAAAGTCCGTGTTGCCCAGCGACAGCCCCAAAACATCACTGCTCTAGAGGAGATCTGCATGGAGGAATGGGCCAAAATACCAGCAACAGTGTGTGAAAACCTTGTGAAGACTTACAGAAAACGTTTGACCTGTGTCATTGCCAACAAAGGGTATATAACAAAGTATTGAGAAACTTTTGTTATTGACCAAATACTTATTTTTCCACCATAATTTGCAAATAAATTCATTAAAAATCCTACAATGTGATTTTCTGGATTTTTTTTAATTCTCATTTTGTCTGTCATAGTTGACGTGTACTTATGATGAAAATTACAGGCCTCTCTCATCTTTTTAAGTGGGAGAACTTGCACAATTGGTGGCTGACTAAATACTTTTTTCCCCCACTGTATATAGACAGGTGTGTGCCTTTCCAAATCATGTCCAATTAATTAAATATACAACAGGTGGACTCCAATCAAGTTTTAGAAACATCTCAAGGATGATCAATGGAAACAGGATGCACCTGAGCTCAATTTCGAGTCTCATAGCAAAGGGTCTGAATATTATGTAAATAAGGTATTTCTGTTTTTATTTTGAATACATTTGCACAAATTTCTAACCTGTTTTCGCTTTGTCTTTTATGGGGTATTGTGTGTAAATTGATGAGGATTTTTTAAAAATTATTATTATTTTATTTTTTTTTACATCTGAATACTTTCCGAGTGCACTGTATATAGCTGGTCTGTTTTAACACTAAGCACTTTCTGTCTAATCACCCTAAGAAGCTTTTTGATAAGGGAACACTGCTCTGTGTGATTTTTAGAGAGTCCTGGACATGGACACACTTTCTAATTTTGAGTTGCTGGTTAAGCCAAGGTCTTGCGTATACTAATTTATTAGTTGGGTCATAATGCCATCTCCCGGCCTTAGTATTGGCCAAAGAACTGAATGTTCCTTAAGTGGGGTTGACTTGAACGTGCACAGTTTCTATATCCATGGAGGGACCTAAATGTCCCCAAATGGTCATATCTCGCTGTCTTGTAACAATAAATTGGCAAATGAAACCAATTGATCAACTCAATCAATTTGAAATGATAGGTATGCCTTTTTCAGGTGTTTCCGTGGTTTAGGCATCCGTCAGTTTTAGTGTTAGCTGTCAGCTAAAGGTTTAGTCTTAGTTTGACCCTGACATTGTAGCAACATTGTTCCCAGTCCAGACATTGATGGTCTCTGGTTCTCAGGTCTGGGGAGAATGATGTGGAGTTCAGTGGGAACCTGGAAATGGAGGAGGGAGAACTGCCTGACGATGTGGCAGGGGCAGCAGGTAACCTCTTCCTCCACTTTGTCTCTCTCTCTCTCTCTCTACTCCCTCCTTTTCCATCTCCCTCCCTCCTATTTTCTCTCTATCCCCTTCTCTCTCACCCTCTCTCCCTACATCTCGTTCTTTCTTTCTGTATGCCATCTTCCTCTCCTCTTTTCTATCTAGCTATGTCTCTATCTCACTCTCATCAAATCTCTCTTTAGCGTGTGCATGTTAGTTTAATGGGGCTTAAAGACGATGGCTCATCGTCAGCGTGATGGGCTTGTCATGGGTGCTGATGTGGAACGTTTTAAGTGTGTGTGTGTGTGTTTAAGTGTGGAAAGGTGGTAGCTGCAGCGGATTAAAACGCATCCAAAGGGGAGTGTGAAGGGCTGCATAACAATGCTTAAATTTACATGCATGAAGTGAGGGAATGCAACTCATGTGTCACATTATTCTTCAATTTACGTAGTTTTTAGGATGCACCTTACTTTGGCAGATCTACATCTTGTCCTCTTAGAAGCCTACTCTTCGGTACTTTGATAACTGATTTCAACTTTAGCAACTCAGTATGGGCCGCCCTTAAACTCAGACATGTTGGCTGTCTCTTTTGCTTACTATCTGACTGTCTCCTCTCAAAGGACATTATCCATTATTACATGCCCCCATGCCTCAGTGGGTTAGTGGGTTATTCAAATTTATTCACTAAACATTGGCTGCAAAGTGGATTATTGTCCTCGCTGCCATTTCCAATCTCTTATCTCTCGCCTTTTCAAATGCGCATTGTATGCAGACCTTAATTATTTTTCTGCTGCTCTCTCATAGCTGTGCACTGGCTGACTCAATACTGCAGTGAAATGGCTAGAGTTTAATTGAATCTTTGTGGAGGAGGTTCTTGTCTGAAATGGGGCTACTGTAACTCAAAATGGAGATACAGCATGAGATGTTGAGTAGCCGTAGCGCTCTGCTATGTGTGTTAAACCTAGTAAATTAAGATTTCCTTTTGCAACCAGTATTCACTATGCCCTATTCCAAACTCATTCCAAGCGTCAGTTGACTCCCCGTGCTACTCCTACAGCACTCGATAGATCGAAGCATCCAGTATAGTTCACCTTTGGTCTCCACTTCCCCTTTGCAACTGTCTCCTCACCATTGTACCTCTGAATGTACCTCTCTGACTCTCCCCTGTCTCTCCCAGGAGGCTCTAACCCTGGGGCCAGGTGTCTGAGGCGTGGTGGTGGTGGTGGTCTTTCCTCTGCTGGCAGCAACAACAGTCTGCTGGAGATCGACCCCGTCATCCTCATCCAGCTGCTGGACTTGAAGGAACACAGCAGCGTGGAGTCACTATGGGGCCTTCAGCCCAGACCCCCTGCTTCCCTGTTGCACAGCCAAGGTAGAGTCTCTCTCTCACGGCGTATCCAGTGTATGTGACAATACATCTTGTCTTTTTTTAGTTTTTTTTCTACTCTGTACTGGGTAGCCAAGCTAGGGTACAGTCACTCCCTCTCTGGGAAACATTAGGACAAGCGCTAATAGCCTCTTAATCTCTTCATTGCTCTTGTCCCTCTCCTATCTACCCCTCTCTCCAGTCCAAGTCCACTCCAGGAAGGAGCGGGGTGAGCGCCGGCCTCAGGCAGTGAGGAGGGGAGCCCCAGACTCAGGGGTCCTGATCCGGCTCAAGGCCCAGATGGCTGAGGTGCGCAGTAAGATGACGGATGTCAAGTGTCAGCTGGAGGCGCGGGGGGAGGCCAGGGCAGGACCCTCCGGTGGGGCCACAGGGGAGCAGGGGCCCTCTTACCACGCAGACTCAGGCCTAGGGCCCAGCAGAAAGCCCACAGAGCTTGATCTGATGGGGAAAGGACCTGGGGCCTCCAGACACTGTCGCTCTGGTGAGTGGTGCTCAAGGTTGGGGAGTAACAGATTACATGTCATCTGTTACATGTTAACGGATTACAAAAAAACTACCTGTAATCCTTTACCAGCTAAAATGTTGTAATCAGATTAGATTATTTTGAAAAATTTAAAGGGTTACTTTTTAATTCAGAAAGGATGTTTGCGAAAAAATATCTTTGACACCTTTCTGTTTTCTCAATGACATTCAAATCAGCATTGAAAAAAGGGGCAAGTTTAAGTTTGTACCACCTGAGCAAGTCTGACCACAAGTCAGAGACCACTATGATGACACACCAAATGTGTTTGATAGACTGCGGAAAAAGAGCAGGAATAGGCTTTTGTAGGCTACAGTCCAAGCTATGTTTTCCAATGGTGTGACTTCTGTCAGCATCCAAAGATTATCCAACTTGAATAAGCGTTTTGAGGAAAGGATGACATCAGTGGTCTAGTCTACAGGTGATACGGATATCACTTTTTATTGATATCTATATAGAGCATTGATGTGAATCACACTGCTGGCCTCTCATTTAGCTATTCTGAACAAAAATATAAAGGCAATATGCAACAATTTCAAAGATTGTCAGTTTAATTTAAGAAGACCCTGAGTGGGGCTTTTATTGCTCAATCTAATTAGTGCTGATAAAAAAAATGTCCATAGCCCTATGGACACATGCTCAAACTCGCACACTTTTGATAGCTACAGTGATTGGAGTATCTGTCCATTGGACCACTTTAAGCCGTAAACTCCACAGAGCTGGGCTTTACGGAATGTGGGAGACTCCCCAAACATATGGAAGAAGGTACTCTGGTCAGATGAGACTAAAATTGAGCTTTTAGGCCATCAAGGAAAACGCTATGTCTGGCACAAACCTAACACTTCTCATCAACCCGAGAAGCATGGTGGTGGCAGCATCACGCTGTGGGGATGTTTTTCATCAGCAGGGACTGGGAAACTGGTCAAAATTGAAGGAATGATGGATGGCGCTAAATACAGGGAAATTCTTGAGGGAAGCCTGTTTCAGTCTTCCAGAGATTTGAGACTGGGACGGAGGTTCACCTTCCAGCAGGACAATGACCCTAAGCATACTGCTAAAGCAACACTCAAGTGGTTTTAAGGGGAAACATTTAAATGTCTTGGAATGGCCTAGTCAAAGCCCAGACCTCAATCCAATTGAGAATCTGTGGATTGCTGTACACCAGCGGAACCCATCCAACTTGAAGGAGCTGGAGCAGTTTTGCCTTGAAGAATGGGCAAAAAACCCAGTGGCTAGATGTACTTGGCACTGTGTAGCTCAGTTGGTAGAGCATGGCGCTTACAACGTCAGGGTTGTGGGTTCGATTCCCACGGGGGGCCAGTATGAAAAAAAGACAAATGTATGCACTCACTTAACTGTAAGTCGCTCTGGATAAGAGCGTCTACTAAATGACTAAAATGTAATACCCCAAGAGACTTGCAGCTGTAATTGCTGCAAAAGGTGGCTCTACAAAGTATTGACTTTGGGAGGGTGAATAGTTATGCACGCTCAAGTTTTCTGTTTTTTTGTCTTATTTCTTGTTTGTTTCACAATAAAAAATATTTTGCATCTTCAAAGTGGTAGGCATGTTGTGTAAATCAAATGATACAAACCCCCAAAGAATAAATTTTAATTCCAGGTTGTAAGGCAACAAAATAGGAAAAATGCCAAGGGGGGTGAATACTTTCGCAAGCCACTGTATAAACAGCTGCAAATGTATCAAAATATCAAAGTGTCATCAACAAAAACGTAAACAATAGGCCTATACAGTGGCGGACTTACCATTAGGCAGAAGAGACAATTGCCTCTGGCCTCACGTGAGCTGGGCATAGTAAAAAATATATAATAAGGAAAGTTGGCGGGTGCACAGTGCACTGTTCGGATGCTGGAGTTATTTTGGAAGAACGTGGGAAGGTCACCTACTTTTTGAAGTGATTTGTTAGACAATCAGATTAAAACATCATGGTTGTGTACATTTTTACATTTAAATTACATTTCTTTACTATAAAGAGGGGGGGTTGGGTTATGCCCAGGTAAAACAATTTGGCTAATGTATTTCCAAGTCCTATTCTTGAAGATCAATGGGGATTAAATTAATTGAAATGACTGGAAATCTGACAGACTTTGGTTTTTAATGTAAATGTATAGCCTAATCGTATTATCTGTAGCAGAAAGCAATGGGTTAGAAGAAGCCTACATAATAAAGTAAAATGCAACATCCATTTATGGTCACTCTAACATTGATTTATCCTACAATAGATGTCATTCAATTGGTAATATTAATTTGTGTCTTCTAATGCCTCTTAAAGGAAAAGTAATCTGAAAGTAATCAGATTACTGAGTTTACATAATCCAAAAGTTAAATTTACTGATTACAATTCTGGACAAGTAACTGTAACTGATTACATTTAGAAAGTTAACTTACCCAACCCTGGTGGTGCTACACACCTTCACTGTACACAATACACTCTACAATCTGTGGAATCGGATAGCATTTCACAGCACTTTCTACGGTAGACTCTAGACGGGCAGCTGGGGAGCTATCGACTGCTCAGTCAGATGTTTATCCAGCTGTGCTGCTGTGGTTTGTGTGGCAGGAGAGAAGAAGGCCTTGTCTCCCAAGCAGGAGGGCAGCGGGCTGGGCCTGAGGAGAGCCACAGACGGAGTGGAGAAGGAGCCGAGAGGCCAGAGCGGTGAAGAGTCGTCCAGTGATCAATGCCTCTTCCCCAGGGACACCTCCAACGGATCAGAAGGTCAGTAGTAAAGCCAGGTAGAGGTGGGTTAGCAGTGTTTAGACCTGCACCTGTAATGACACACCACCATGGCTCCACCTAAGTTCCCAAATGTATGGTTGTCACTTGTCACACTAATTGTAAAAGATTCATGCAATGCACCAAAAGCGAATGACTTCTGACTGACCAGTGTTTTACCTGTGCTGTGTCATACTGTAGGAGCCCTGAAGCCACGCAGCGCCCACAGCTCCCCTCCCTCTCTGGGCAGCTCATCGTCCTGCTCCGACAACAAGCCCTGCAGCTCCAAACACGACCAGGAGCAGCTCTACGGGGCCAACCTGTACGCTCTGGGGGGCCTCAATGGCATCTCCACCGCCACCATGGCACGACCCAGGACCCAGCCCATGGGGTAAGACTAACACCCTGTCCTAAATCCAAATCTAACGCTAGTCCTTATGCATTTGTGGCGATCCAAAGCACTTGGATTGAAATTCTATTACGTAAAATTTTCCCACTTCAAAAATGAGATTTTTCTGTAGTCCAGGTGCTTGGAAAAGGGCACATGATCATTGAAAATAAACTCCCTTTAAACCAACATTTTGATCATTATTTCTTTATCAGGTGTTTACCCCCTGCCAAAGCCTCTCCAATTTAACTATTTGTTTTTGGCGTCATATTTGTTTTGAGCCACAGTGCTACTATTTTTTATTACTTTACTGTGCCAACCTTGGCTGGGTTTGAAAAGAAGGCAGGATAAATGAAAATACAGTATTTGGACTACTGCTGTTCTAGCTAACTAGACTGGTATTTATGCACCACCCTATTTGGTATTAAGAATTAGTCTTCCCAATGGACCAAGCAGGGCTGTTTAGGTTTGGAATAGACCAGCAACTAGAGTGGTGAAATTATTAGCTTTCTCTCTCTTGCCAAAATTATCCCAACAGTACCTTAGAAAGAAAGGAAGAAAATTATTCCCATGTGTATTGAAATCAATATCACTTGTGGTTAAAACAAGTGGCAAATCAACCTCACCCTCCCTTAGGGCCGGCCTGCTGACGGACAGCTCTCTGGACTGTGACTTGGAGGAGACGGCTGAGATCCGCCAGTCACTGCTCTCCCTGGCAGAGGGACCCTCTTCACGCCCTGACGAAAGTGAGCCCTACTGCTCTAACCCCCTCTTCCTTCACCTCCACCTCTACCTCAACCCTCCTTCTCAATGGAGGAATGCAAATGTGATGGCACTAAGGATTGAGCTCCACTTTTCATCTGTGGATAGAATATACTGTAATCAAATACCATACTGCAGGTAGAGTAACAGCTTCTTGTTGAAGGGAATTTTAAAGGATGTTTATTCTGCAGTTTTACCCCTAATGATCTTTGGGATGAGTTGGTGTCTGTAAAGAGAGACAGAGGGTCTCTACTTGGCACTGTGCAGGATGAGGTGTGCTCTTGGCGGTGATGGTGTTTCCTTTACCTGTGAGATGCCGCTATATTGGTCTTAGTGGCTCCCCCACTCTGTTACCTTTTTCTCCCTCTTTCTATCTTTCTGCTGTTTTCCTTTCTGTCCCTCCGTCCCCCTCTTTTTTGTTTACCTATGTTCCCTTTCTCTCCCTTTTCTGTTTGCCTGTCTCGCGCTCTCTCCTACTCTGTCGCTCTGTTTTCCCTTATCCTTTGTGTCCCTCGCTCTTTCTGTCTGTCAGGTCATGTTGTCCGTAAGCAGACGGTGGTGTTGCTGCCAGGTATGAGCAGTGACAGTGAGATCGACTGTGACACGGAGAACGAGGACGAGGTGGTGGGCCTGGAGGCTGGAGACTGTCGCTATGATGCCCGGGCTCTGCCCTGCGCAGGTCAATATTGTTACCTGCCACACACACACATATACATATGCGTAACCCCCTCACACAAACACTTAAACACGCATACATTAGTGTCATTTATCCACACATTTTAGCCTCAAATCAGCTTGCCGGTACCGTGGAAGGAAATGAATGCTAAGCTCAGTGTTTAAATGCTTCTGTTCTTCTTTCCTCCCAGGGGCCCAGTTGATCTCTGATGACCTGAGCTTCACCACAGGAGAGAACACAGAGAGGTGATTCCCCTCCAACATGGCCACCACAGCCGGTCTAAACCGTGGCCATCGCTGTATGGGGGGACTGGAGAGCAGTGTATATAACTTTAATGTACACAAGCACCTGTGTAGATAGACACTTGCATGCACTCATTCTAGTCACTGGCAACCCCAAATGCTATGAGAATGCTACACCTCACTAAGTGAGCACGTTGATGATGACTGCAAAATCTGTCAATATATTTGGTCACTTTTATTAATCTCCATTTATATTTAAATGTAAATTGGGTTAAATTTGAGTTAGTATGGGGTGAGGAACAATATATTTGCGAGAGACATATTCTTTAGGCTGTCGTTGTGAAAACTAAAATAGGAACAGTTATCATATGTAACTAACCTCATGGTTGACGTTTGCAATGTCTACATACTCAGATTGGGCTTTGGTCTGGACATCGTGAGCTCTGGTGAATTAGGAAAAATAAGCACAGTGCATCTGCTTCACAACAGAAAGAGAACCTTAAAAGCTCTCTGCCTTTCTGATTCAATGAGGTGCTATTGATGTGTTTGTGTGGAGGAGCACAGTCAGGTAGGCATCACACAGTGCTGTAATGAACACCCCATTCTGGTAAACAGTCTGAACGAACGCCTTGAAGTGGACGCATTTAGTAGCTTTATTCCTGTATCGTCTTCGATTAAAACGTGTAAGGAACCCTTTAGGTTAGCTGAAAGAAAGGCAGGGCTGAAACATCATGAAGGTGGCAAGAAGTCCCTTTCTGTGCCAATCTTATCAATGTAAACTACTGTATTTCGTCAACTACTCCCGGTAGATTGGAGTTGCTTGCCCCCCAGTAAATCTTTCAGAACAAGAACCAGTTTTGTTGCTGTGTAGACACATTGAAAGATGTATCAATGATACGTCCTTCTCTGGCCTGTGTAAGAGATTGCTACCTTCTGAATTTGTTTTGAGTAGTTTCTTAGTAGAAAAATAGGCATGACTCTTGCTCACAGTATTGAGTGGATTCTGACTGAATTTATTACTTTCTTGGTTGACAGTCTGGGCTTCAAGTGCTCTTTGACCTTGTCTCGTAATTGCACATCAAAGCTGATGTACCTTATCCGTACATACAGCGTTCTTTCCTTCATGAGTAAGTGTTTTCTGCAGCCCTTGTCAAATCAAGATGAGCTCTGTAACATAGGCATGTGTGTAGGAGGTGTTTTAGAGTTTTCTGCCCTGATAATACCTACAGTGTGGACACTAATGCTGTCTTAACTATTTTTCTGTGCTGTGTGAGCAACTCCTCCCAGTTCAGCTATTCTGCTTGTCTTTGAAAAATGGTTCCATGCAAATTCACACATTTTGACTTCTATGAAGCAGACGCAATTTCGTTTTCAAGTTGGTGGATTCCTTTCCCTTTTCAAACAATGGATCCAAATGTCACATTCCGTCGTCTTGAGTCTAGATAATTTTATTTTGCTTGTTTTCCTAGGCAATATTTGACCGAGGCAATATTTGGAAAGTAATTTGTTTGACTGAGACATGTGTAAATCAGTGTTTGTTTTGTACAAAGGCATGTCATTAGAACAATTCTCTTTGAATATCCTACTACTTGCCCATCAGAGGGTGCCATTTCTGCCTTGTAGTTTAGCTTTGCTGTGTGACCGTGGACCATTTATTTACACAGTAACATTTTATTATTTTCAACCCTTGAAAAGCAATCTGTCGACCACACTAGCATCGACATGGACATCATAGCAGAAACTGTACTCTTTGTATCATGGAGAACAATGAACACTGGCAAATACTTTCGTCATTGAAATGTACACTGAAGAGGTGACCCAACTCAATCTGTAAACATTTCTATCCTTTATCCCTTGAAAGGGAGATGTGTAAGATGTCTCAAAGGATACTAGTGTGCATTGATTAATAAGGAAATATGTTCTAAATGCCTGACTGGAGAGCTCAGTGATTTACACTATAAATATCTTGCTACTTCAGCTGTAGGATGCCTGATGTTAACCCCCAGCTGCACAGCCTCCTAATGTTCCATCATGTGTGCCTAAAACCGCATGGCTTCAATGGAGTTGAACAGGCAGAAGGAGGGTGGACAAAATGCTTTAAACCTAGGATATACAGCTCTAGACTCATCCTGATATGGTCTAATTGTATCTGTATCTATTTCCGTGTGTCTGTTCACTATGCACATTTCTGTTACTGCCCAGGTTTTAGCTGTGTGTTTGACTGAGTGGGAAAGGGCTGGCTGAGGAAAGGCACTAGAAAGAGGGTGATTAGATGGTTTCAAGTGTTCATGCGTTCCTTCATTGTGTCTGTACCATTTCTGAGTGATTCTTTTATATTGTTCCAGAATGTAGAGTGGGATTTTTATTTGTTGGGTATGTATGTCATTTTTTGTTGTTGTAACTAATAGAATATGACACAAACAAATAAAATATTTTATGGTTTCTTGAAACTGAACACGCGCGTGTGTGTAACCTAAATATGGAAATACTTGTCAAATGGCTGAATTTATGTAACAATTAAAATCCTGTGTTTTTGAGAGCTCAATTGCAGATGAGGGGTAACTCCCACTGTTCTGGTTGCCTGCACGTCTCTTGAGGTCGGCATTGTAGAGGAGGGTGGGGGCTAGAGATTGAGCGCAACAGAGATTACTTGGGTGAGTGAACATTGGCACTGGCCATGTCCTGCTTGCATCTGGCCCGCACCAACTCTCCCCTCTTTCAGAGGGCCACCATGCCAGGAAACAGGGCTTAATTTAGGAGGATTGGACAGGACACATTGCATGTTAGTCAGCAGCCCAGAAAGCCCCATAGGAATTGACATGACTCAAATGACTGTTATCCTACTACAGGTGAATAGTCTGTCTAGCAGGTGTCCCTCATCCCATTTCTAACCACCCCATAATGTTGTATATTTATTCACATTACCAACATATGCAATGTGTGAAGAAGCTGCTTTAAAATGCCATCACTAATGCTCCACTTCACAAATTTTTTCTTGGTTAAAGGCTCACATTAGTTTTAATTGATTCTCAATAATAAGTTGTTTTGAACTGCTAATGGATTTTAACAGCTTTACATTTACATTTTAGTAGACGCTCTTATCCAGAGCGACTTACAGTTAGTGCATACATTATTTTTAATATTTTTTTCATACTGGCCCCCCGTGGGAATCGAACCCACAACCCTGGCGTTGCAAACGCCATGCTCTACCAACTGAGCTACATCCCTGCCGGCCATTCCCTCCCCTACCCTGGACGACGCTGGGCCAATTGTGCGCCGCCCCATGGGTCTCAGAGCCTGGATTCAAACCAGGATCTCTAGTGGCACAGCTAGCACTGCGATGCAGTGCCTTAGACCACTGCGCCACTTGGGAGGTTGAGATTTTTAGTTGTCATTAAGGCCACAATGTACAGGTCATAATGTACCCTGCAATGTCTCTTACCATCAAGTTATGACAATTTTAAATATATTTTAAGGTTATGTTCAGGAAGCACCTCAACTCTTCCGCTCAAAATTTCCATATTGTAATCCCCCTTTCCCTTACCCCTGAATTTCATCACCCATTGTTTTCACCCAAACTAGAACGGCGGATCGAATACATCCAGATGAAGGCCTAGATTCGATCAGATCAAGCGTTTAACTGGCGATAGCTGACGTGCATAGCTGATGTTTTGGTGGTGTCGGTGTAACTGCGATAGAGCTGTCAAATCGGTGAGCAGCTGCTCTTGTGATCATTGTCACGAAGTCACACCCACCCATTTGCGTTAGGACAGGGGGGTCAAACTCATTCCATGGAGGGCCTCGTGTCTGCGGGTTTTTGCTTTTTCCTTTCAATTAAGATCTAGACAACCAGGTGAGGGGAGTTCCTTACTAATTAGTGACCTTAATTCATCAATCAAGTACAAGGGAGGAGTGAAAACCCGCAGACACTCGGCCCTCCGTGGAATGAGTTTGACACGTGCTAGAAGTTCAGAACAAGAAAGGAATTAAGTTATACAGAAATAATGACGCTCAAATTGAAAATCATTAAACAAAATAATGAGGATTTCTGTCAGCCTAATCAACGTGTAGATTACGTCTCACATTCCAGTGTTCGACCTTGTAAACAAGATTTATCTTAATGCAACTCCGTGCTGCCAATGGCAATGTCCGCTTTAGGTGAAATGCTGGGAGCTGCATGTGGATTTGACAGCTCTAACACAGTTCCAACTCCGACACGGATGTCGGTTAGAGCAGATCTGATAGAATCTAGCCCTAAGTGTTGAAGCTGATTAGTTTTTATAGCAACAGGAGTCTGTCCATTTGATTTGATTTGACTTCCGAGCAAAGCAGCTCTGACAGTGTTTTGTGTAATGCCAGACTCCATTAGAGTAGTCCCTATTACAGCCTTCAATGAATGTCCCTCTTACAACACTACATCTTCCACCCTCATTTGCAGGCTCCCAGAAAGCACTCCCCTAAATGAGAAAATGGGTCTATTTGGTCTCTGATGCCCTAAATGTCCCTTAATCAATCACTAGTGTGACTCATAGATTAAAGCCATGGCTTTTCTTGTGGAACACGCAATCCTCTGTGAACCCTGGTGGATATTAACACTCACTCATCTGTTATGTCAGATGCTAAACTGCTCCATATATGATCACGGTCATAGTAATTAAGTTGTGTGTGTGTGTGTCCTCAAGCTGATGAACAACAGCAGGGATTTACTCTCCTCATTACTTGTGTGTGTGCCTTAAACCTTGCAGCAAGAAAGACCATGAGCAAAAGCTCAGCTGTGGTGCTGCTACATGATGTAAAATGTTTGACTAAGCAGGTACTTCCCTGCATTTCCATCTGTAAATAGTATACCATACCATGTGGAGCGCAAACTTTGTACTTAGTAAGTCTGAAACTGTTTCCGAAATTCAGTTGTGATTTGTGAAGTGTTCTTGATGTAGAATGCTTTTTTTTTAAAGTACACATTAATAAGTAATGATGATGAATGTTTTATGATGCCAGAGTGGCGCAGTGGTCTAAGGCACTGCATCGCAGTGCTAACTGTGCCACTAGAGATCCTGGTTCGAATCCAGGCTCTGTCGCAGCCGGCCGCGACCGGGAGTCTCATGGGAGGCGCACAATTGGCCCAGCGTCGTCCAGGGTAGGGGAGGGAATGGCCGGCAGGGATGTAGCTCAGTTGATAGAGCATGGCGTTTGCAACGCCAGGGTTGTGGGTTCGTTTCCCACGGGGGGCCAGTAAAAAAAAAAAATGTATTCACTAACTGTAAGTCGCTCTGGATAAGAGCGTCTGCTAAATGACTAAAATGTAATGTAAATGTAACAGATAAATGGACATCTGACTGCACACCATTCATTCCACCTGGAGCGTGAAATAAAAACCTAGCAATGTTTCCGTTTCTCTGCTTGGATGTTAACAAGGAAATGCCCTCTTCCTTTTCTAGTAGATTTGATTAAAATGCTGTAGCTTGCCATCCCTATCGTAAGAATGCTGGACACACTTTACAGGGCGTTGGCAATCACCTCAACTGTGAACACTAGCCATCGTGTACATACATGAGCATACGTGCGTATCACCACAGGACAGTTGGAGGCCTTGATTAAAAAGCATCTTGGGTAGTTAATTAAATATGGCTGTTCTATCACTAGGGTCTAGGCTTGACAGGTGGAGGCTAAAGACTCTAATTAAGTCTCCTGGCTCTCTAAGTGGAGCCACTGGAGCCTCGACAAGAGTGCAGCACACACCTGAGGGTCAATATAGGCCTAATTAAAATCCATCTGATTGTGCAAGAGGTCAAATAAAACCCATCAGACAAAATACTTGATTTAATCTTTATACATGATACTAGTCACCAGTTAAGATACACACATATTTATATTACGAGAAGAACACAGAAGATACAGATACTGAAACTTTTTACTGGTTTGCCTAACCTGCAGGTTGGGAAGAGCTGGTCATGGGTTTGTCTTCAGGGAAGCCTGGCGGACAGAGTTTGAACCGCCCTGTGAGAGGAGGCTGGCCAAGCTTAGAGACACTTTGGGCTGGATTCAATCCATATCAACGAGGTTCAGCGTTACAGCGTGATTGAAATATAAAGGCAATGTTCCTGCGTTAGTGGAGACTGCATTCACGGTAAACGCTGCATTTGTCGGCTCAATATGAAATTACCTTTACATTTCTATTGTGCGATCTGTAAAGCTTCAGTTATACAGATTGAATAGAGCCCTTTGTTGTGTTTCTCATTGGGACTAATTCAATATGGCCACCAAACGTATTAGTGTGTACAGCGACAACTGTCCAAGGGGTACATCATAGATTGTGTCCCATACTACCATCGAGCAGAAGTAAAGTGGTGTGTGCCCATGTCAATGTGAGCACTGGTAAGAGTTTAGTAGGGTGGCCGTTGTTAGTTTGATCTGGCTCGAGCTCCGCCTTTCTCTGTGAAGACAAACCCTCTGAGAGCCTTTCCACGCACGACTCATAAAGATTCATTATTGCTTACAGGAACAAAGCATTTTGTGGACACAGTGCAGAGTCATGAGAGCAATTGAGTGACATAAGAAAGGGAAGGGGTGAGAGGGGAAGAGACCTGAACTGTGTGGTCTTTTACTATCACCAGGGGAAGTGTCATATTGGCATGGGGGGGGGGGGGGGGTACCGCAGCAGTGGGTGAGAGAGAGAAGAACTATGGGTTAAGCGAGTCAGCAAGTTTAGCTGAGGAACTATAGAGTTTGCTTTTCTGTTTATGGCTTGGTTAAGGTTCAGCGTCTTATAAATGACTACAGCTATAGAAGACTGCGAGGGGGCGACCATTTTGACATTTCAGTGGATGGGCCAGCATTTAAATTCCCATGTTCCCTTGTCACTCAAGCACTGCTAATGTACACGACTCTCCTTCCAAGGTGTCACATGAACAGTACAGTACAGTGCTGGGGGCTGTGAAGCTTGATATCAACACAGAATATTGTGCCACCATCCTGCTGACATTACAGTGGTGATTTTAAATAGCAGACGTATAAGACAGACTACATGCATACTCTCAACACGTACATACACACATTCATACTTACATGTACATAATATGAATTTACTACTATTTCAATACGCAATTGGTGCCCCATGTGAAGAACGTTTAAGACGGGAAAGATGTATACTTTATTTGCTCTCAAAAAAAGCAGAAAGCTCCAAAAAGCATGTAATGTGGATGGGGCTGGGTGTGGGGCTGGGGGGTGGGGGTGGGGCTGAGGTTGGGGGGACTCAGGGCATTCGATAACTACCTTTTATATATTAAACTTGATGGTTGTCTTTCAGTATTGGTCAGAAAATGGCAATTCGTGTAGTCCGCTGTTCCGAGAGTCAAAATGCAGGTGTTGGTTATGCAAAGAGAAAGATACAGAAGCATGGGCATCTTTTTGCCCAAGAGGCAGTGCGCTTATCTCCACATCCTGCTCCTTCAGAATGGAACACCAGGATAGAATGCTCAGATTTGCGAGGATACGGTGGATAGCTGATAAATTATACATTATTTCCTCTCCCACGATCAACAAACACCTCCAGAATATTGTCCTCCAGATGTACAGCATCCAGAAACGGTTTTCTTACATCCACACAGGGAGCGTCGCTACAAGTCCAGAACACCACTACTGTCTCAGTCCTATTGGCCCGTCTATGAAGGTCCCGGGAGGGCTCCATGTACATTCTACAACTGGAATACATTCTGCTCTCTGGGGATGGTTAATTGTGACTGTCCAAATGGCCTTCTGTAAATGACCACCATGTTTTTCAGTGGGGAGGCCACCAGGTGACCAACGGCTATGTGTTTCAGAGGAGCAGTAAGCAATGGCTGAGGGTATTTCTCTGTGTGACTGTGGGCCACTGCGTGGTTTGGTCACTTTTACCCTGTGTCCTTGTCTACTGCCCCTGGGAACTCAGTGAGACTGGGGAGGGCGGGAGCGGGTGTGGTTTTTAAACAAAAGTATGGAAATGGCACAATGTGTTAGTAAATGTTGAAAACATCAGGAATGGCACAAACAATTCCTGTTTTCTTAAGGGTATAAAGATGGGGAGTTTTTCCAACAGCGAGACTGAACCGTCTTTGATAAATATTGAACGATGGATGCCTGGGCCAGGAGAGTGGAAGCACATTTTACAGAACCTAATCATTGCTAGATAGCATTTACTATGGAGTTTCAGAAAAAATTACATTTACATTTGAAAGGATCATGAGATTAAGATTAACTTACTATTTTTGTCAAACCATTGATCATTCTTATGCTCTATTGTTGTTAGTGAAATTATAAAGCAGCATAGTGATTGGTTAAGTAACCCCTGTAAGTGATCTGAAACACATGGGTCCATATCGTAATGGGAAGCTTAGAAGGGACTCTGTCGACTGAGGCTCAAAATTCCCATCCATTTTTCTTGTTCAGGGAATAGTCTTAAGTGACAGATAATGAAGGCACATGTTCTGCTGCTTTGTCTGAACTATCCTGGCCCAGTAAGCCTGATAGGGCACTTACTCACACCCAGCCTGCTGGGAAGGACTTCTCGTCAATGAGAACACATCTTGTGTTTAGTGTCATGTAAACATCAATTTGATAGGCATGGCAAGGACTGATTAATGTCTGCTCATGGAGGACGTCATCCCCAAAATTATAAATGTAATATAATTTCTTAATAATATCCCCTTTTACATGCCATTATCCTTTATTGTAACCCCATCTGGAATACATATCGGTCTATATATGTTGGATTTATTCAGGTAAGTGACCACTAATCTTATAATCCTGTATTAAGTACTCAAATCTATGGAGATGGAGTGGGCGGATAATGTGTATTCCATTATGAATCGGAGAGTACAGTACAGTGTGTGTTTGCAATATGGGCCAAGAGCAGGAATTGTTATGGCCGGCCTCCTGAATGGGGCTATGGGGATGGGTAGGTGCATGTGTGGGGGGGGTGGGGGGGTTGTGCCAGTATCCTGGATGAGGAGCTTATGATGGATGGATGGATGGATGGATGACTGTAGTCAGATAAAGGAAGGGGCAGGAGAGAGAGGAGCGAGTGGAGATTACTTCACATCATCAGACACTGCTGCAGTCGGGCAAGTGGGGGAGGGCTACCCCAGGCCTCCTCTCGGGGCATCGCTGGGGGTAGGACACACTACGGGTGGAGTGCAGCAGGCCGGGGAGCTCCCTGGGGGCTCGGCCCCAACGCCGGGACCCCCACCCCCACCTGGGGCTCATGCACTCCATCCTCCGGGTGTGCCTCCCCGCGTGGCCAAACAGGGCGGCCGCCAGGGGCCATTGTCCGTCTGAGCTGGGCTTCTGGCAGGCGGGGACTCTGGGTTTAGGCCGGGGCTTGTGCTTGGAGCCCTGGAACCCCTCTTCTAGGCAGGGCAGCCAGGCCGCTCCATGGCCCTCGGCAGGCATGAGGTTCTGGGTGAGGCCTAAGGACGGGGACTGGTGTGAGCTGGCCAGGGGGAACCTGATCCGACCCTCCTCTCCCAGCGTGGGCCCCAGCAGGCCTAGGCTGGTTCTGTCCGTCAACGAGTCCATGCGGTCTTCATAGCCCAGGTCGGCCGGAGCGGAGCACTGCTGCAGGAAACAGTGACCCTTCCCCCCGTCCTGGCAGCCCATGTCCCCTTGCCCTTCCTCCTCCACTTCCTCGTCCTCTCCCTCCTCCCCTGCCCCCTCTTCCTCCTCCTCTCCTGGTGGGGGCACACGGAGGTCTCTGAGGAAGACCACAATGACGGAGATGTTGTCGCTGGAGCCAGCATCGCGGGCCGAGGCCACCAGCTTGTGTGCCACCATGGTGCTGTCGCCGCTGTTCTCCGTCAGGTGGTCGCTGACCACACGCACCGCCTCGTCAGGGCTGACTGTGTCGTAGAAGCCGTCGCAGGCCAGGATCAGGTAGTCCTCCGTGCCGTCCAATGGGACTATGTGGTGGTCGGCATCGCCAGAGATGTAGGGCTTGTGCTCATTGTCGCCTGTCAATCACCAAGACAAAGAGAGATAAGAAACAAAGGAAACAAATCATATAATTGCATTTATTGCAAAACAAAATCTAATTGAAGCACTTTTTATTTTAAAAAATTGCCACAAGGTGCTGAACAGCAACCTGGGCCTAAACCCCCCAAAGAGCTGACAACAATTTAATTTAATATTCAGTGCTGCTGTATCTGTCAAGTCCACCAGGGTATGCATCTGTTTTGAAAAACAAATAATACATTTTAATTTAATAAATAATAATAAATAATATAATATCTGCTGCTTGCCGCCTTGTCAACTCTGCTTTCTGTTCAGCCCTTTGTGACTAATGTATTTATATAAACATGTAAACGAATATCAGTGTAGCAATATCTGTCCTCTCTCCTCTCCTTCACGCAGTAGGAAACAGTTCTAATGTAGCATCTACATTATTTGCTGTCGAGGAAACGGTTGTTTTGATATCAGATTAGTGAAGCTTTAGGATTTGGGAACAGCAGGTCACAGTAGGGCTTCCTCACTAGCCACCACTAAAATAGCTACCGGGAAATAAGACAAGAAGCTAGCCTCAAGTTGCCTTGTGAATCAGTGTTGGAGGTCAATTAGAATTGAGGTCAGTCAATTCAGGAAGTTAAGTGAAATTCCAAATCAATAATTGAAAAAAGCGCACCTAAGCTATTTATTTCGATTTCCAACATTATTATTTTTTGTGCTTTAAAAAAATTAAAATCCCTTCCTGAATAGAATGACTTAAATTCAAATGACCCCAACCCTGTTGTGTATGTGAATAGGTACAGGACGGATTCTAAAGGCAGTCTTTACAGTGAATTCCTATGTAGAGTCCAGTATTGTTGTGATTGTGATGTTGTAGTATGGGAGCTGTGAGATTGTTCTATCTAATCCCATTAATATTTAAATAGCTGCTGGGAAATCAGACTGGTCACCTAACCTAAAGTTACATCCACTTGTGTATGCATATAGGTACAGGCAACCCTCACCCCACCACCTCTGGGTTGCTATTTGTCTCCCAATCGGCACTGTGTCAGCTGGCCCTTGGCTGTGGCCCCTAAGACTCTGTCATGACCTCTGCTCTGGCGCTCACCAAAATAGTTTAGACTGATTATGGGCCTCCTGCTAAGTGGTGAGTTGCTTTCATGCTGAGCATGCAAGCACACATACGCACTCTCTGCACGACACACATACTCACTCTCAGCACGACACACATACTCACTCTCGGCACGACACACATACTCTCTGCACGACACACATACTCACTCTCTGCACGACATACTCCGACCCCTTGCTGACCTCTCAATTCTGACCAAGGTAGCGCACACACACACTCACTCACTCACTCACTCACTCACTCACTCACTCACTCACTCACTCACTCACTCACTCACTCACTCGGGGGACTCAGCAACAGGCGTGGTACAGCAGCTACAGTCTGTATATTGTACTATATATGGTAATTCTATAAATACAAGGCATAGGGTGATTAATGGTGTACCTATGGCTCTGGATACGGACAGGCTGCCATTAACCCTCCACGTGCCGAACCAGATGACACAGCCTCCCAGAGCCTCAATACGCTGCTTCTCATCCTGCAGAGGGAGAGAGAAAGATGGTATTATGTATAATGGTATGTGGTTGTATATGACATCTCTCTGCTCAAGTGATGTTAGCGCCTGTGTGTGAAGTGAACAGTGATTAAGTGAGTGTGTGTTGTGTGTGTGTGTGCGTTACCTCTCTGTCAGGCTTGTGAGGCTTCATCAGTTCCACGGCCTGGCCCTTCTTGACCAGCATGACCTGAGAGTCCCCCAGCCAGGCCACGTACAGGGTCCGCCCCCTCAGGAAGGTCACCACCCCCGTGGTGCCGCAGCGCAGGTTCTGTCACACAAACACATACATTTAGACATAAAAACATGAGTAACTGTTTACTATGATTCACAGAAATGTTATATTATAAGCAAATTCTGAACAGTAATAACAAATAAGAAATGCTCAGACATTTGAACTCTAGCTCTAACCTTGCCTCTCTGCAGTTCTACAATATCAGTAGTATTGAAATTAAATCTTAAAGATGAATGCGGCCAATGTTTGAGCCCTTACCTCCATCTTAGCCTTCCGGATGAAGCGTTCGTCAGTGACTCTGAAGGCGCGACACAGGGCCTCCCCCGGATCCTGGCTGAAGCACTCCTGGTGCACCATGTTGACGTGGAGGTGGTTGGCGGCGTAGATGGCGGCGTCCACGCCCCCGTGGCCATCGAACACGGCAAAGAAGGCCTGCTCCTCCTGGTCCTGAAAACAAACACACAGGTCAATGGTCAAAACAGTATGACCAGAGGGTGAGCCTGCAATGTCTTAGAGCTTCAATACTTTCAGGAAGCACTCTTATTTCTTCCCTTCATTGAAGTCATCACTTGTTCTAACATGATAGTGACTCTCATGCTTTGTAAACATCAGAGTATGAAGCAATGCAAAGCATTCATCTGTCCAATCTCAATCATCTTTACAACAAGCTTCCATAAACAAACTTAACTGGTCATAGTAAATTCTAAATGACCATTGCGTATACAACATACAGTGGGGGAAAAAAGTATTTAGTCAGCCACCAATTGTGCAAGTTCTCCCACTTAAAAAGATGAGAGAGGCCTGTAATTTTCATCATAGGTACACGTCAACTATGACAGACAAAATTAGATTTTTTTTCTCCAGAAAATCACCTGGAGGTCACCTACAAACAAGCAAGATTTCTGGCTCTCACAGACCTGTAACTTCTTCTTTAAGAGGCTCCTCTGTCCTCAAAATGTCAAAATGGTCAAAATGATCACAAGAACGGTGAGCAAAAATCCCAGAACCACACGGGGGGACCTAGTGAATGACCTGCAGAGAGCTGGGACCAAAGTAACAAAGCCTACCATCAGTAACACACTACGCCGCCAGGGACTCAAATCCTGCAGTGCCAGACGTGTCCCCCTGCTTAAGCCAGTACATGTCCAGGCCCATCTGAAGTTTGCTAGAGTGCATTTGGATGATCCAGAAGAGGATTGGGAGAATGTCATATGGTCAGATGAAACCAAAATATAACTTTTTGGTAAAAACTCAACTCGTTGTGTTTGGAGGACAAAGAATGCTGAGTTGCATCCAAAGAACACCATACCTACTGTGAAGCATGGGGGTGGAAACATCATGCTTTGGGGCTGTTTTTCTGCAAAGGGACCAGGACGACTGATCCGTGTAAAGGAAAGAATGAATGGGGCCATGTATCATGAGATTTTGAGTGAAAACCTCCTTCCATCAGCAAGGGCATTGAAGATGAAACGTGGCTGGGTCTTTCAGCATGACAATGATCCCAAACACACCGCCCGGGCAACGAAGGAGTGGCTTCGTAAGAAGCATTTCAAGGTCCTGTAGTGGCCTAGCCAGTCTCCAGATCTCAACCCCATAGAAAATCTTTGGAGGGAGTTGAAAGTCCGTGTTGCCCAGCGACAGCCCCAAAACATCACTGCTCTAGAGGAGATCTGCATGGAGGAATGGGCCAAAATACCAGCAACAGTGTGTGAAAACCTTGTGAAGACTTACAGAAAACGTTTGACCTGTGTCATTGCCATATATAACAAAGTATTGAGAAACTTTTGTTATTGACCAAATACTTATTTTCCACCATAATTTGCAAATAAATTAATTTAAAATCCTACAATGTGATTTTCTGGATTTTTTTTTCTCCTTTTGTCTGTCATAGTTGACGTGTACCTATGATGAAAATTACAGGCCTCTCTCATCTTTTTAAGTGGGAGAACTTGCACAATTGGTGGCTGACTAAATACTTTTTTTCCCCACTGTAGTTGCGTGTCACTCTCGTGACGTTGTGCGTTTTCCATGAATGGCATGTGTAGTGCCTCGTCGCGAATATGCAAATCCAAATATAACCGGTTTGTGTCTCCACTCATCCATCTGCTTTAATTAACTGGGGTTGATTGCCAATTAGCAGGCTTACCCACCACTAGCACACTTAATAGAATGGGATAAACATTTGATCCGACGGAATACTGTAATTATCTCATTATATGAGGATCTTTGAGCTTGTGCACCTGCCTGTCTGGGACGTCTCATTGGCCAGTTGGTTCAGAAGGGACGTGAGGGAAGTGTCCATAATCGTTGGGGATGACTGGCAAACCAATAAGTATATGATTTCAATGACAGATCTAATTGACACTGTGTGGCTCAGATAACATGCCATTATCAGCCTGGGGTGTGGTGTGTGTGTGTGTCAGTCTTCTTTTTGTGTGTGTGTGTGAGTGAGGGTGTGTTGTTCCACTTCATTGAAATAATTTCCCTCGTGCCTGAGGGAGCATGCTAGAGCACTGTGGCCAATAATGCTATTAGAAGCATTTCATTCACTGGCATCCACCTACCGTGCTATTATTTACTGTTCTCATTGGGGCTGTATTAGGAATAACTTGGATAGTGGAGTTTTATTGATCTTCTCCCCATAGTGAAGTGAGATGGTAGCTTCCCAGCAGGGAAGCTGGGTTAGCCCACTGGGTTAGCCCACTGGGTTAGCCTACTGGGTTAGCCCACTTAGTCTCTTAATTAGCTGATATACACAGAAGAATGAAGTGGTCTCTTTTTAGCCAGTGGACAATGATTTTGAGTGCCTCTACAGGGTTGGGGTCAATTCCATTTAAATTTTCCTCAATGCTTCTCTATGAGAAATGTCAGTTTACTTCCTGAATTGAAATGTGCTACATCACATGGTAATACTGTGTATTATTGTTCTTGCATCAAGTGTTAGGCCAAATGTTGCTAAGAAACATTCAAACAAGGACTTAAATCCTGAAGTCCATCTTCGATAGGAGGGTATCTTATGAATGTAGTCAAGAACAAGGTATTGATTTTGTGCTCATTAGGATTCCATACGCTGTGTGTCTTGGGGTTTCCAGCGAGCTCTTTTAGAGTAAGCACTTTTAAGGCCACTAGGGAGAAGCCATAGGGCAGAACTATAGTAGTGCTAGAGCCCTCCTTTCCCACCCCTTCTTCTTATGCTTTATCAGAAATGCCCCTTCAATGGTAATTGAATTTAAAGAGTCGAGTCCACACCCCCCCTAATGGTTATGGTTAGAACTGAAGGGTAATCTGATCCTAGATCTGTGATTGAAATCTTCTCTCCTCATCAACGTAGAGACATGCTGGAGTCATGCGTACCTGTATGTTGAACTGATCCTAGACCTGTGGTTAAGGACTACTCTGTTCATGCTTACCTGTATGTTGAAGAGAGTGTTGAAGTCGGGGATGACGATGTGTTTGTCCTCCATCTTACGGCGCATGTTTTTGATGGCGTGGATGGAGGTCTCGTAGTAGGGCTGAGGCCGGCGGCGGTAAGGGAAGTCTTTCAGCCACAGGCAGCATGTTTCACACAGTTTGTTGAAGATGAGCCGGGAAAAGGCCACTGACTCAATCTCTAAAAGAGGACACACGCATGCACAAACACACAAATGGCATGTGATCAGACCACAGGCTCACACACATACAGTACAGTATACACTATACATGCATGCATTAGTGCACTGGTGAAGAAAATGGCCTACAGATGCATATATTCACATTTACTCACATGAAAATAATGTGCAAAATAATATACACGCATGTAGTCTCACATGCAACCAAAGAAAGGCATAGCAGTGTGCTCCTATGCCCAAATGCGTGCTCTCTCGCTCTCTCACACACACACACATGCATGTGCACACAATCATACACACATACTCACACACACACATTTGTGTGCAGTCAGTCCCAATTGACCCAGTAGTCTGGGACCCCTGTTTTCCATACTAGAGCTCTGTCACACTTGAACCCAAAGCCACTCATGTAAGTTAACATTGAGGCCTTACACGGGGAATACAAGGGGAAACAGCTCAAAGGAACAGAGAAGATGGTTCCAGTGGAATTAAGGACAAGTGGGCAAGAAAGGCCATCTGGCGAATGGGTTGGGGGCTGGGGCAAAGGAGAGAGAGATGGAGGGAGGAGGGGAAAAGAGGATGTCATGATGAAGTGATCTCTCCGGCTGGGTTTCCCGAAGGGGACGGCTGACATTTTCTCTTCCACACCGTCTCCGTCTGTGTCCTGCAGACTGCGCTCCTACCAGATTTCATGGGAGTTGGTCACCTATTGTCTGCACGCCTGCCCTCTCATGTCTCTCTCCCCTATCTTTGGTTTGCCTGTGAGGATTCACACTATGATTATATTGTTAAATGTAATGCTGCTGAGTTTTTCACACTCAACAGTTTCCTGTGTGTATCAATGGTCCACCACCCAACGGACATCCAGCCAACTTGAGACAACTGTGGGAAACATTGGAGTCAATATGGGCCAGCATCCCTGTGGAACGCTTTCGACACCTTGTAGAGTCCATGCCCTGACGAATTGAGGCTGTTCTGAGGGCAAAAGGGGGTGCAACTCAATATTAGGAAGGTGTTCTTAATGTTTTCTACACTCAGTGTATATAGAGTATATACAATGCTCAAAAAAATAAAGGGAACACTAAAATAACACATCCTAGATCTGAATGAATGAAATAATCTTTTTAAATACTTTTTTCTTTACATAGTTGAATGTGCTGACAACAAAATCACACAAAAATTATCAATGGAAATCAAATTTATCAACCCATGGAGGTCTGGATTTGGAGTCACCCTCAAAATTAAAGTGGAAAACCACACTACAGGCTGATCCAACTTTGATGTAATGTCCTTAAAACTGTCTGTGAATTATTTAGAATTCAAGGCACACTTAACAAGCATGGCTACCACAGCATTCTGCAGCGATACGCCATCCCATCTGGTTTGGGCTTAGTGGGACTATCATTTGTTTTTCAACAGGACAATGACCCAACACACCTCCAGGCTGTGTAAGGGCTATTTTACCAAGAAGGAGAGTGATGGAGTGCTGCATCAGATGACCTGGCCTCCACAATCCCCCGACCTCAACCCAATTGAGATGTTTTGGGATGAGTCGGACGGCAGAGTGAAGTAAAAGCAGCCAACAAGTGCTCAGCATATGTGGGAGCTCCTTCAAGACTGTTGGAAAAGCATTCCAAGTGAAGCTGGTTGAGAGAATGCCAAGTGTGTGCAAAGCTGTCATCAACGCAAAGGGTGGCTATTTGAAGAATCTCAAATATAAAATATATTTTGATTTGTTTAACACTTTTTTGGTTACTACATGATTCCATATGTGTTATTTTATAGTTTTGATGTCTTCACTATTATTCTACAATGTAGAAAATAGTAAAATGAATGAGTAGGTGTGTCCAAACTTTTGACTGGTACTGTATATTATGAAATGTGTTGTTTTACAAGGTCAGCCATAGTAGTACGACGCCCCTGGAGCAAATTAGGGTTAAGTACCTTGCTCAAGGGCACATCGACAGATTTTTCACCTTGTCGGCTAGGGTATTCGACCCAGCGATCTTTCGGCTATTGGGCCAATGCAGGAACCACTAAACTACCTGCCGCATTAGAACGGAACTCATCAAACATTCAGTTGAGCTTCAATGTGGATGTTTGTTATTTCTGTATGTTTTAAAACATCTTAATATATGATGTTCCCATCACAGGAGGTTGGTGGCACTTTAACTGGAGAGGACGGGCTCTTCGTTGCGAAGGGTTCACTAAATGTTCATTAGTAACTTACAGGATAGTATGGGTACTGACTCGTCTTGAGAAGCTCTGATGCTTCCTATAGAGTCCTGTAGATTCATCGTAAGAGCCTTAAGATTCCATAGCCCCATGCCCACTGTAATGAATATCTGGACGACGTCCTGTTGAGTGAATTCTCTGCTCCACTTTGTGGAACTAAGGACTTGCTCTTTCCACCCTCCACTCCTCACTCTCCTTTCTTCCCTTTCTCTGCTTCCTCTCCTCCTCTCCCTAACTCCTCAGGCTCTGTATTTAAATGTAACCTCCCATCCCATCTCAGAGCCCTGTCAGGGAGCAGTATGAGCTCTGTGTGTGTGTGTTTGTCTGTGTGGGTCTCCTCTGCCTTGGGCCTAAACGGCCGGGCTGACTGGTATCCTCCATTCTTACCACCTCTTACCCACTCTCACCATGGCTTTCACCAACCCACCCTCCAAGACAGCAACCTCGTCACACAAATTACCTGAGCCAAAATTATATATATATATATATTATATTATATTATATTTCCCCTATAGTTCTCTTTCTGCCTCTCTCTCTCCCTGACAAAAACACAGAGATCTTAAAGGAGGAGTGCTGCAGGGTTATTCAGACTGCTGTTCCCTTCTCTTCTAAAAGACCTCTGCTCTCGCTTGTTCGCTCCACACAGTGCTTTATTTTGTCACTAACAAAGTAAAGGGAATTCTAAGTGACAGTGGATGACATCAAACTGTGGTATAAAAAAAGTGAGCCAGGAAGCGCAACTGTTTTAATGCTAATTATTAGCTGAGTGTAGCAAATGGTGATTTTCTCATTTGTCCATGGTGTTGACTGAAACAACACCTGAACTGACAAAGACTTTGAATTTAAGCTAATATATTGTATAAAAAGTAACTCTGTCCATACAGTAGCCTAGCTAGGTCAGTACATGACCTGATTTTGCATGTCAGGCGCGGGCTGACAGGGGACTCACGGGGGAAAGGGTCTACTCCATCCTCAACAGTCTTCTGGATGTGGTAGATGGAGAGGTCACTCTGCAGAACACTGTCTGCTGTAGCCCGCGCCAGGGCAGCCGCCAGGGAGAAGGGGCAGTTACTGTAGGAGAGAGAGAAAAAAAGGGAAATGGAGGGGTTATAACAGGAAGGAAGAGAGATCAAAGCATGGGAGGAATAGAGGGAAGGAGGTATAGGGTGATTATAGCAACCCGATATAACAGTCATATACCATAGAGATTGAGAGAGACTGATGGAGAGAAAGATGGAGTGTGGTAGGTTGTGGCTGTAACGTCCCCATCAAGCTTCCTTGAGCTATCATACTCCAATGAGACTAGCCTTTAGGCCTACAGTCCTCAATGATCAGCTCTCACTTTAATGATTAGGCCTACCTCATATATCAATTCATTTGACTGTCTGAAATAATTCCCTCCATCGACCAGCTTTAACCAATCCCAGAGTGGAAATCTGTCTGTCTGTACTTTGGCCTGAGACAGGCCTGTTCATTATCCACGTTCCAATCGCTCCACTGACTGAACACTGTCATAATCAACGGCTCTCATGTAATTACTATCAGTTTGGCCGCCCAGGCTTTTTGATCAGTCATTAATCAGTTCAGCAGAGTAGAAAAGCTGCCATGATGAAACAAATGCTTGTTTCGTAACCTATTTTTTTTCTGAGGGATAAGTGACCCAGCCACCCTTTGGGATCCAAAATGGGGGAGTTTCCTAACACTTTTGGGGGATCCTGAGCATTGTTCTGCCACCACTCCATTACGGCTCTTTTAGTTGTGTATAGGCACTCTACCAAGCGTTGAGTGTATTATGAAATCTAGTCCTCGCACTTGAGCCTGGCAGAGCTCTCATGTTGTTCCATTGTATCAACAGTAGATACCACGGGAGATTTAATATGTTTACATAGGGGAAAATCTAGTTCCATACAGTAGCCCTTTCTTGGTGAGCTAACAAGGGTGAAGCCCCTGGATTGATTCAAACGCAATGTCAAACTGTTTAAATTCAATCTTATATTGCAATCAAAATATTGAACTAGTCCTAACGTGATTCCTATACCACAGGTGTCACATTGGGGCTAATCCCCATAGCAACTTGGCTCAGAGACCTAGTGGAAAAATCCCATTTGAAGCGTTGTTATATTGACTATCACTGCTAAAAGTACAATGCTTTTTAAAGACTGTATACAACCATTGTGAAATCCTTACTTGACTGATGAGAAAACAACAAAAGACAAAGAAACTACTTGAAATGTGAAATACCACATTAATTTAGAAGCTCCTTATACAATATGTCATCTTTCTGTTGTTCCAATGGTCCTGGTCCCCTCAACCCAAATAAGAAAAGAAAAGCAACAAATCAGATGAGAAGTGTCTGACAAATACTCTCCCTCTCCAGATGTGCCAGTATAGATCTGTTTGTCTAAACTCAATCTATGTCCCTGTCGGGGGGAAAATCCATTGAGTGATTCTGCGTCAATCAGTAAGTAGCTGGGTCGTTTCAACAATTAGGTGCCGTTTGAAGAGTGTAGCTTTGTGTCATAAAGAGCACATGTTCAACTTAATAAAAAACAAGTTTTCCCATCTCAAGAGGTACAAAATAAATAATACTATAGTAAGTGCCTATTAAGCGCCAAATAAATTAACAGGGTTGACGATTTAATCTTAAATCAGTCATAAATCCCCTTGTGGCAGGGGGAATGGAAGCTTGTTGTGTGTAATAGGGAGGGGAAATTGAATGCAAGGTTCACAAAAACATTGAAATTGTGAAAACATTTTATGGGTAAAGGGGTTGACGTGTTATGCTTGACCCGCTCAGGTTTCCACCACAAAACAACAGAAAATTGCCAAAAAGAGTAGAACCAGCTCTACTCTCATTTTAATATGGTGAAACTTTTCCTTTTAAAAACAAAAAATTCAAAAGAAACATTGAACATCTAATAGTCTAATTACCTGCTGATAATTAGACTATTAGATGTTCAATGTTTCTTTTGAATTTTTTGTTTTTAAAAGAAAAAGTTTCACCATATTAAAATGAGAGTTCAGTTCACGTAACAGGGTTGACCTTAAAATGAGGGACAGGTTTTTTTGTTTAGTTTTTTATCTTAAAATGTATTATTAATCATAAGAAATAAATAATAATGTGAAAACTTGGAGAAATGTTGGGGGGGGGCTTTACTTGGCTCATCGCACTCTAGCGACTCCTTGTGGCGGGCCGGGCGCCTTCAGGCTGACCTCGGTCGTCAGGTGAACGGTGTTTCCTCCGACACATTGGTGCGGCTGGCTTCCGGGTTAAGCGGGCGGCTGTTAAGAAGCGTGGTTTGGCAGGTCATGTTTCAGAGGACGCATGACTCAACCTTCGCCTCCCAAGCCAGTTGGGGAGTTGCAGCGATGAGACAAGATTGAAATTGGGGAGAAAAAGGGGGTAAAATACACACACAAAAATATATCAAAGGGATGCAAAAGGCACTCATTTCGTAGAACGACCCATGAAGCTACTATTGCGCTCAAACCTCCTCGATGGAACTGTGGCTTGGTGACCAGTCATATTTTTTTGTAACATTCAAAACCATGCAATGGCCACAATTAGAGGGAAATCGGAAGCGTAATATTCACATTTCTACATCTGGGTACTCTCTAGGTCAGTGGTCGGCCAAAACCGGCCAGTGATTTAAATTTTTTGGCCCTCCCACAGTTTTTACTAAGATTTTACTTTTGCTTAAAAAAAAGACTGGAAAATCACCAGGAATTCATCAAAACATTTATGAAATCTGTTCCCAAGTATTCCCACAAATAAAAAAGAGACATATGTGATTGTGTCTCAATGTAATCAAGGTATGAAATTATTGTTATTTTCAAATACAATCTCTTTTTGGGCTTAGTTTGGGTCAAATTGCAGTGTACAAATTATTATAATTATGTTCCGACCCCCGACCATCGACTCCGACAAAAATCGGCCCGCGGCTGAATCTAGTTGCCTACCCCTGCTCTAGGTGCCTTCAGAAAGTAATCCCACCCCTTGGCGTTTTCCACATGTTGTTGTATTACAGACTGAATTTAAAAGGGATACAATTTAGATTTTGTGTCACTGATCTACACACAATACCCCATAATGTCAAAGGGGAATTATGTTATTATAATTTTTTAAAATCGAGATTGACATTTAAAGGTAATTTTGGATTGAGCCAACATATGCAGCATTTACAGTAAATATGGTCTCCACGAACATTGCCTTTATTGTCTCCATGAACTTTGCCTTTAAAACATACATAGAGGACAAAAAGCGATCTGATTGAATCTGGTCCCTAGCCCTGATTCCTACTCACCCTAAGAGCACTGATGCCAATGCTTTCCCCGTCTGGAAATAGAACTGCTCAGCACTGACACAGTGTAGCGGAGCTATGTGTTCAGGTGCACCCTGGGGGCCTGAGGCAGCATGGAGTGGGGGGGGGTTTACTGCCGGTTTTGACTAGCAGACTCAAACATATCTAGCTACAACCAGGTCTGCCCTGAAAACAGTCTTGGTTTCCACTAATGCGATGCTGCGGTTAAGTGACCTTGGGCCAGGTGCTGCCTTAATCTGGGCAGGTTATACGCCATTGTGGCTCTGAGCTCCTGTACCCATGGTAACCTGAAGCACTCAGTGTGTTGACAACTGATGATGGGGTTGTCATGACAACGGCACTGCCTGGAGGTAACAGGTACAGCGGTTCATCGGGCAGGCGGAGTGAGTGCCCACGGTCTACCTCTGATGTCTACAGGAATTGTGTGTGTGTGTGTGTGCATTTGCAGCAGGGGGTGGCCATACATAGCCAATATAGCCCCAGAGACAAAGCAGGGGGTGAGGATAAAGGGATAGAGGAAGAGAGAAAGGAGGGAGGGAGGAGGGAGGGATAAGCTCTTCCCTTATCTAAGGAAGTGGAGAAGCACACTCTTAGAAAAAAAGGTTCCAAAAGGGTTCTTCGGCTGTCCCCATTGGAGAACCCTTTTTTGGTTCCAGGCAGAACCCTTTTTGGTTCCAGGTAGAACCCATTTTGGTTCCATGTAGAACCCTCTGTGGAAAAGGTTCTACATGGAACCCAAAAGAGTTCTACCTGGAACCAAAATGGGTTCTTCAAAGGGTTCTCCTATGGGGACAGCCGAATAACCCTTTTAGGTGTGCAGCAGCTCAACAGGCAGTGAGGGGAAAGTGGAACATTCTCACACAAGGACTGTCCAATGACAGGCTGCTCTACATGAGGGTAACCCCAGTAACCAGGCCACCTCTTAAGGCGTCAGCATGCTTCAGTTCGGCTGGCGCCTAGCCGAACTCGGCTAGCCTAACCGAACGAGTGTGCTCGCATACTCCCTTAAAAGACTGCTTGAAAGCTGAGAAGAAATAGGCAATAGTACTGTTTGTCCATTCTGAGACGCCGTAGCCAGTATACACTTCCTCAAAATAGTCAGAATTAATCTAAAATAACTCAAGAAATATGTCATTCATTTTGACATTTTTGCCGAGGAGATCTTTGTGGCACAATTTTACATCTACCTAAGGTAGAAAAAAACCTCACTGAAGTCACAAATGCGGACGCCTTTACAGTGCCTATCATAAGTATTCACCCAACCTTTGATCTTTTCACATTTTGTTGATTTACAAAGTGGGATGGAAATGGATTTAATAGTGATTTTTTTTGTCACTTATCTACACAAAAGAGTGACAAAGTGAAGAGAAATTACTATAAATGTTTACAATTGATTTATATATTTTTTATAACTAAAATGTCTTGCTTATAAAAGTATTCACCCCCTTTGTTATGGCAAGCCTAAAGTCCAGGAGTAAAAATGTGCTTAACAAATCACATAATAAGTTGCATGAACTTACTCTGTGTGCAATAACAGCGGTTAACATGATTTTTAAATGACTGCCCCATCTCTGTACCCCACATACAATTATCTGTAAGGTTCCTCAGTCGAGTAGTGAATTTCAAGTACAGATTCAACCAAAAAGACCAGGGAGCTTTTCCAATGCCTCGCAAAGAAGGGCACCGATTGGTAGATGAAAAATAAATAAAAAAGCAGACACTGAATATTTTGAGCATGGTGAAGCTTTTAATTAGGCTTTGGGTGGTGTATCAATACACCCAGTCACTACAGAGATACAGGCGTCCTTCCTAACTGAGTTGACGGAGAGGAAGGAAACCGCTCAGGGATTTCACCATGAGGCCAATGGTGACTTTAAAACAGTTACAGAGATTAATGGCTGTGATAGGAGAACACTGAGGATGGATCAACAACATTGTAGTTACTCCACAAAACTAACCTAAATGACAGAGTGAAAAGAAGGAAGCCTGTACAGAATAAAAATATTCCAAAACATCCATCCTGTTTGCAACAAAGCACTAAAGTAATACTGCAAAAAAATGTGGCAAAGGAATTAACTTTTTGTCCTGAATACAAAGCGTTATGTTTGGGGCAAATCCAACACATCACGGAGTACCAATTTCCATATTTTCAAGTATGGTGGTGTCTGCATCATGGGTATGCTTGTCATCAGCAAGGACTGGGGAGTTTTTTTTAGGATGAAAAGAAACGGAATGAAGCTAAACACAGACAAAATCCTAGAGGAAAACCTGGTTTAGTCTGCTTTCCACCAGTCACTGGGAGACAAATTCACCGTTCAGCAGAACAATAACCTAAAACACAAGGTCAAATCTACACTGGAGTTGCTTACCAAGAAAACAGTGAATGATCAACAACCAACTTGAATTTTGAAAAGAATAATGGGCAAATATTTCACAATCCAGGTGTGCAAAGCTCTTAGAGACTTACCCCAAAAGACTCACAGCTGTAATCGCTGCCAAAGGTGTTTCTAACATGTATTGACTCAAGATATATTAGTGCTTTTTATTAAAATTAATTTAAAAAGAAATATATAATTTTTCTTCCACTTTGACATTACACAGTATTTTGTGTAGATCGTTAACAAAAAATGACAATTAAATCCATTTTAATCCCACTTTGTAACACAATAAAATGTGAAGAAATCCAAGGGGGATGAATACTTAACTGTATAATAAGCACTGTATATGGGGGTAACCAAGGTGACTCGGCCTAGCTCCTCTATAAGAGGAATACTCAAATTAACTTATCTCAGATAACAGGCTATATGTCTCTTTGTGCTAAGTGCCAAACACATTCACCATTCCATTTTATTGTGGGTAACCAGTTATAACCAGTATAGCTACAATACCTGTTTAACATATTGGGTCAATTGTAAAAATTATCATCAGGGAAGTTGATATCTTTTTGGCAGAGACTCATACAAAGTAAAAACATTTACAGCATCCTCTAAAATGTAGGCCATGTTGAAACTGCAGCTACATTAATAACATTTAATAGCAAGCTCACAGGTTATCCTTACCTGCACAATAATCTAATTTAGATAGAGAAGTTAAGAATAAGTCAAAGTTGATCTTAAGCCTAAAATTAGATTATCTGGACTACAGATACTACAGCCCATTAAATTAACTCAGGCACAGATTGTTTGACTAAATGCTGGTTAATGTAATAATAATAATAATAATAATAATAATAATAATATGCCATTTAGCAGACGCTTTTATCCAAAGCGACTTACAGTCATGCGTGCATAAATTTTTTAAATATGGGTGGTCCTGGGAATCAAAACCACTATCCTTGTGTTGCAAGAGCCATGCTCTACCAACTGAGCTACAGAGGAGATTTGTTGTATTCTAAATTAAGATTATTCCTTGCAGATGTCTTGTGTACTAGACTCTAATGGTCTGAGCGAAGTTGTACAGGTAGCCTAGTTTGGCAAAAAGCATCTGGCACAGCCAGTTTACGCCGTACAACGCTACTATCAGTGCTTATGTAACTCCTGTGTTACTAGAGAGCAGTTAGCAGGATATTCTCTGGGGTTTAAAGTTGGTGGTGTGTATGTGTAGAGAGCTGGACAAGAGAAGCAGAGAGCTTTTCTGACACCCACACACGTACTGCAGTGAGGTCGTCCGATGACACATGCTTACAACGAGTTGGAGATAAACATAGGGCCTACTGTACCACTGGTGGTTTTTCAAAAGAGTCACGATTATTCTGAAACCACTACAATTCAATGCATTAATGTTGAGTGCTGAGATGACTCCATTTAAAACACAGTACAAAATCTATTTTGACTGAACACATTTTCTATTCCTCGCTGGTATCCTTTTATTCAGCAACAATCTAACTCTCAAATAAACCCTCTTGCCAGTTGGACCCACTTGCTCATAAAAATACTATTCTATCTGAATGTGGAGAGGACAGGGAGTGGGTAGATGGCCTGAGGGTGTATGGTGGGAGGCATGTATGTTGGTATGAGTGTACAGCATTGTATGTGTATGTGTGTGTAGGAAGAGAATGTGGGTGGGTCTGTGGTTAAGTGGTGTGTGGGCATGCACGTGTGTGTGTGTGTGTTTTTATGTGTGTGAAAAAAATACATGACATAGGTAAGGCATGGTCTCTTTATATGGGATTATAGGGATGACAGTGCTACAGCGAGAGAGAGATGCTAACAGCCTCATCGGTCCCAAGCTGCCATGCCTGCCATCTGTGCTGGTCCACCTCCTCTGCGTTTCCATTCATAGAAATTCTCTCTCTTTCTTCCTCTCTCTTTCTCTCTCGCTAGCTCACATACTCTGTCACTGCCTTGCCGAGAGGGGTGTGTAACGAGGTGGGTAGCCCTCATTGGCTGAGGGACTCCGGCACATTCATCAGCAGCCAATAAGGTCTCCCCTCTGCTTGTGCGACACAGTGAAGCCAGATCGGTCTGAAGGAATGGGGATGATGAGAGAGGCTCTTTTCACACAGTTCTCTTTGTGAATTCTATTTTACAAACGCGCATTGCTTTTTATAGTGACGACAACAGATACAATGCGTTGGAGCTTCATATCTTGCAGTTTTTTTTATCTATTGGCTGACAACTCCTTCACTGGGTTAATTCTACACTGCTCAAAAAAATAAAGGGAACACTTAAACAACACAATGTAACTCCAAGTCAATCACACTTCTGTGAAATCAAACTGTCCACTTAGGAAGCAACACTGATTGACAATACATTTCACATGCTGTTGTGCAAATGGAATAGACAACAGGTGGAAATTATAGGCAATTAGCAAGACACCCCCAATAAAGGAGTGGTTCTGCAGGTGGTGACCACAGACCACTTCTCAGTTCCTATGCTTCCTGGCTGATGTTTTGGTCACTTTTGAATGCTGGCGGTGCTTTCACTCTATTGGTAGCATGAGACGGAGTCTACAACCCACACAAGTGGCTCAGGTAGTGCAGCTCATCCAGGATGGCACATCAATGCGAGCTGTGGCAAGAAGGTTTGCTGTGTCTGTCAGCGTAGTGTCCAGAGCATGGAGGCGCTACCAGGAGACAGGCCAGTACATCAGGAGACGTGGAGGAGGCCGTAGGAGGGCAACAACCCAGCAGCAGGACCGCTACCTCCGCCTTTGTGAGGAGCAGGAGGAGCACTGCCAGAGCCCTGCAAAATTACCTCCAGCAGGCCACAAATGTGCATGTGTCTGCTCAAACGGTCAGAAACAGACTCCATGAGGGTGGTATGAGGGCCCGATGTCCACAGGTGGGGGTTGTGCTTACAGCCCAACAGGACGTTTGGCATTTGTCAGAGAACACCAAGATTGGCAAATTCGCCACTGGCGCCCTGTGCTCTTCACAGATGAAAGCAGGTTCACACTGAGCACATGTGACAGACGTGACAGAGTCTGGAGACGCCGTGGAGAACGTTCTGCTGCCTGCAACATCCTCCAGCATGACCGGTTTGGCGGTGGGTCAGTCATGGTGGGGGTGGCATTTCTTTGGGGGGCCGCACAGCCCTCCATGTGCTCGCCAGAGGTAGCCTGACTGCCATTAGGTACCGAGATGAGATCCTCAGACCCCTTGTGAGACCATATGCTGGTGCGGTTGGCCCTGGGTTCCTCCTAATGCAAGACAATGCTAGAGACCTCATGTGGCTGGAGTGTGTCAGCAGTTCCTGCAAGAGGAAGGCATTGATGCTATGGACTGGCCCGCCCGTTCCCCAGAACTGAATCCAATTGAGCACATCTGGGACATCATGTCTCGCTCCATCCACCAACGCCACGTTGCACCACAGACTGTCCAGGAGTTGGCAGATGCTTTAGTCCAGGTCTGGGAGGAGATCCCTCAGGAGACCATCCGCCACCTCATCAGGAGCATGCCCAGGCGTTGTAGGGAGGTCATACAAATCAAATCAAATCAAATTTTATTGGTCACATGCGCCGAATACAACAGGTGCAGACATTACAGTGAAATGCTTACTTACAGCCCTTAACCAACAGTGCATTTATTTTTAACAAAAAAGGTAAAAATAAAACAACAACAAAAAAAGTGTTGAGAAAAAAAAGAGCAGAAGTAAAATAAAATAACAGTAGGGAGGCTATATATACAGGGGGGTACCGGTGCAGAGTCAATGTGCGGGGGCACCGGCTAGTTGAGGTAGTTGAAGTAATATGTACATGTGGGTAGAGTTAAAGTGACTATGCATAAATAATTAACAGAGTAGTAGCAGCATAAAAAGGATGGGGTGGGGGGGCAGTGCAAATAGTCCGGGTAGCCATGATTAGCTGTTCAGGAGTCTTATGGCTTGGGGGTAGAAGCTGTTGAGAAGTATTTTGGACCTAGACTTGGCACTACGGTACCGCTTGCCGTGCGGTAGCAGAGAGAACAGTCTATGACTAGGGTGGCTGGAGTCTTTGACAATTTTGAGGGCCTTCCTCTGACACCGCCTGGTATAGAGGTCCTGGATGGCAGGAAACTTGGCCCCAGTGATGTACTGGGCCGTACGCACTACCCTCTGTAGTGCCTTGCGGTCGGAGGCCAAGCAGTTGCCATACCAGGCGGTGATGCAACCAGTCAGGCAAATCTGACCATAACTCTATCCTCCTGATTCCTGCTTATAAGCAAAAACTAAAGCAGGAAGCACCAGTGACTCGGTTAATAAAAAAGTGGTCAGATGACGCAGATGCTAAGCTACAGGACTGTTTTGCTAGCACAGACTGGAACATGTTCCGGGATTCTTCAGACAGCATTGAGGAGTACACCACATCAGTCACTGGCTTCATCAATAAGTGCATCGATGATGTCCTCCCCACAGTGACCGTACGTACATACCCCAACCAGAAGCCATGGATTACAGGAAACATCCGCACTGAGCTAAAGGGTAGAGCTGCCGCTTTCAAGGAACGGGACTCTAACCCGGACGCTTATAAGAAATCCCGCTATGCCCTCCGACGAACCATCAAACAGGCAAAGAGTCAATACAGGACTAAGATTGAATCGTACTACACTGGCTCTGACGCTCGTCGGATGTGGCAGGGCTTGAAAACTATTACAGACTACAAAGGGAAGCACAGCCGCGAGCTGCCCAGTGACACAAGCCTACCAGACGAGCTAAACCACTTCTATGCTCGCTTCGAGGCAAGCAACACTGAAGCATGCATGAGAGCACCAGCTGTTCCGGATGACTATGTGATCACGCTCTCCGTTGCCGATGTGAGTAAGACTTTTAAGCAGGTCAACATTCACAAGGCCGCAGGGCCAGACGGATTACCAGGACGTGTACTCCGAGCATGTGCTGACCAACTGGCAAGTGTCTTCACTGACATTTTCAACATGTCCCTGACTGAGTCTGTAATACCAACATGTTTCAAGCAGACCACCATAGTCCCCGTGCCCAAGGACTCTAAGATAACCTGCCTAAATGACTACCGACCCGTAGCACTGACGTCTGTAGCCATGAAGTGCTTTGAAAGGCTGGTCATGGCTCACATCAACAGCATTATCCCAGAAACCCTAGACCCGCTCCAATTTGCATACCGCCCCAACAGATCCACAGATTATGCAATCTCTATTGCACTCCACAGGAAACCTGCCTAAATGACTACCGCCCCGTAGCACTCACGTCGGTAGCCATGAAGTGCTTTGAAAGGCTGGTCATGGCTCACATCAACACTATCATCCCGGAAACCCTAGACCCACTCCAATTCGCATACCGCCCAAACAGATCCACAGATGACGCAATCGCACTCCACACTGCCCTTTCCCACCTGGACAAAAGGAACACCTATGTGAGAATGCTGCTCATTGACTACAGCTCAGCGTTCAACACCATAGTACCCACAAAGCTCATCACTAAGCTAAGGACCCTGGGACTAAACACCTCCCTCGGCAACTGGATCCTGGACTTCCTGAAGGGCCGCCACCAGGTGGTAAGGGTAGGCAACAACACATCTGCCATGCTGATCCTCAACACGGGGGCCCCCCAGGGTTGCATGCTCAGTCCCCTCCTGTACTCCCTGTTCACCCACGACTGCGTGGCCAAGCACGACTCCAACACCATCATTAAGTTTACTGATGACACAACGGTGGTAGGCCTGATCACAGACAACGATAAGACAGCCTATAGGGAGGAGGTCAGAGACCTGGCAGTGTGGTGCCAGGACAACAACTTCCCACTCAACGTGAGCAAAACAAAGGAGATGATTGTAGACTACAGAAAAAGGAGGGCCGAACACGCCCCCATTCACATCGATGGGGCTGTAGTGGAGCAGGTCGAGAGTTTCAAGTTCCTTGGTGTCCACATCACCAACAAACTCTCATGGTCCAAACACACCAAGAAAGTCGTGAAGAGGGCACGACAACGCCTTTTCCCCCTCAGGAGACTGAAAAGATTTGGCATGGGACCCCAGATCCTTAAAAAGTTCTACAGCTGCACCATCGAGAGCATCCTGACTGGATGCATCACCGCCTGGTATGGCAACTGCTCGGCATCCGACCTTAAGGCGCTACAGAGAGTAGTGCGTACAGCCAAGTACATCGCTTGGGCCAAGCTTCCCGCCATCCAGGACCTATATACTAGGCGGTGTCAGAGGAAGGCCCCAAAAATTGTCAAAGACTCAAGTCACCCAAGTCATAGACTGTTCTCTCTGCTACCGCACGAAAAGCGGTACCGGAGTGCCAAGTCTAGGTCCAAAAGGCTCCTTAACAGCTTCTACCCCCAAGCCATAAGACTGCTGCACAATTAATCAAATGGCCACCTGGACTATTTGCATTGACACTGCTGCTACTCGCTGTTTATTACCTATGCATAGTCACTTTACCCCTACCTACATGTACAAATTACCAATTATCAATGTACCCCCGCACATTGACTCGGTACCGGTACCCCCTGTATATAGCCTCATTATTGTCTTTTTATTGTGTTCCTTTTTTTATTTTTTTATTTTTTGACTTCAGTTTATTTTGTAAATATTTTCTTAACTCTATTTTCTTAAAACTACATTGTTGGTTAAGGGCTTGTAAGTAAGCAAGCATTCGGCGTATGTGACAAATCAAATTTGATTTGATTTGAAATTCACCTTTCAGCCGGGCAAATAACCTAAAACACAAGGCGAAATATATACTGGAGTTGCATTCCAAGACGACATTGAATGTTCCCAACTGGCCTAGTTACAGTTTTGACTAAAATCGGCTTGAAAATTGAAATTGCTGTCTAGCAATGATCAACAACCAATTGCTTGAAGAATTTTAAAAATAATAAT